CTGTATTTTTAGGGGTTTAGATTTTGGGTTTTACTTTTACATGAGGAGTTATTCCAAGGCTAAATTCAAATATCTGGTGTAGTAACACTTCAATGACATTTCTTATTGCTTCTCTCAATTTATCCATAGGAGGCAAATATTTTCTTTTGTTATTTAACTTCTTGTGGGAAGTTAAATATCTACAGAATATGTTAAAGAGGCTCTAAATGCAGTTTGACTGAGTTAAATGGTTTCTATTAGATCTCTTGCCATTATCTGTATCTCTTCCACTCTGATAATCTTCCACTTGTTTTAAGAGTAGTATTTTATCATTTCATTGCAGAATGAAAAATACAGGCACAACTGTTTTTTTCCATTTTATTTATTTTTTTATATTTTGATTTGATAAGACACAGGTAATTACTTAGACTAAGCCTCTTTCCATAGAAAATCACTGTAGTATGACCCTATTAGAAGATGAAATAGAGCAGACTAAAAAGAGAATTTTTTCTTGCTAGAAAATTTTTAGGGACTAGGTTGAACAGTGGAATTGTGTTTTGAACCATAAGCAAAATTAACATATTGAAAAATCTATCTAGCCAAGTCTGGGAAATACTAGCAAGCATTACTTGCTCCATAGTGAAGATTTAAAACTAATATGCCATTATGCATCAAATATATTAAAAGCAAGAAACCAAAAACTGTGAAATGCACAGGCTTCACCTTGACTATTTGTACAGGATATTGGAAGAAAAAAAAAAAAAAGGTTGAAAGAAATCTTGGATTAAAAAATGGAAAGGAAGTTAAAAACTGAGACTGCTGAAAAATGTTGCTGTTTTTCTTTTTTAGTTAACTTAAGAGAAACTATTATTTTACCATAGAATCCTTACAAAATCTTTATAAGCTTTATAAAAACTGTTTGTCCTTATCAACCCACCAATTCTAGAGTTTCTTTACTTAATTTTAATACCTTAGACCAAGATATTAAATGAGTACATACGTAGTTAGATATGTTTCTGGGAGATCAAATCCAGTGTTTGGATAATCAGATCAAAGACATGGTACAATATAATCAGTTGTGTGAAAGGAGATGGAAAATTAAGTTATGTGACTTAAACACTACTTTCCAAAACTTGGGTTTCTCTTATATTTTACTAGATAATTTTGTATAAAATTCTTTAAGGAAGACCAATGATACAGTTGTTGTCAAAGTTCTTCTATACCTTAAATTATCTCAAACAGTTTGTTTTCTTGATCTATCAGACAAATTATCCACAAATCTTATTTTTCTTTTGTCAGTCTAGAATCTTTATCTGATTTTTCTTTGCCTCAGCAGACTTGCCACTTACTATGGGCTGCTTCATAGGAACAGATTGTCTCCTGGACAAATTGACTGTGATTCTGCACCTAGTTTCCTCCCATCTTGTGCATTAGTTTTATGTAACAATAAAGCAGCACTTATTATCTGTGTATTGTTTTTCACCTAGAGAGCTTTTAGAACATATAAGGATCCTGAAAGTTTCATGAAGCGTAAGATTTTACTCATTCTATGGTTAATTTTGTTATTTAATCATATATTATGCATTAATTTTTATTAGTGCCTCTTTGCTGAAATTCAGAGGCTGTGTCTGCAAAATTTACAAACCACTAGTATAGAAGTTCATAAGAGTTATTGTGAGATTTCTTCTTAAAATCCATAGCTACAGCGTCATTGTCAGATGTAGACAAGTTTGCCAAGAATTTGAGCATTAATCAGCATTGGTTGTGGGTGGATGTAAAACACAAAAGGATGTTGTAGGCAAAACCAGAAAAATCACATTTTTCTCTGAACAGCTGTATAATAGCCACTTTCAAAAGCTAAATAGTAAACACAGAAGGAAAGAGTTTCACACCATAGAATGTAAGACAAAAATATTTCTGGCTTCCATATTGTGGGAGTTATTATAGAGCAAAAAAAGCTAAGTAAAAATTGCCTGTGTGCTTGGACAGCTGACTCTTCAAGAAATAAGTTAGAAATCAAAATAATTTTCGGAGCCACGCTAGTTGCCAACCATTTAGGCATTTGGAACTAATTAAGGAGTACACACAAATACTTTATAATCATTAGCTTGTCATATGTCTATTTTGTAAAAGATTTCTTGTAATAAATGTTTTGTTCTGTGTGTAAAAATTTGAGTTGTTTTTAGATCCTGAAGTCATATTTACCTTAACGTTGATATATTGTTCCTATGTATATGTAATGTGCGACCATAGTTCAGAGTTGATAGGTAAGGATATCTTTTATTAACCAGTTATTACTGAAAAACACTGACAAGCTTCTGAGTAGAGAAGTTTTCTTCATAGCTGAAAGAGAAAAAGCATATTTGAAGCACAAAAAAAAAAGGAAAAAAATTGCATAGAGTATCAGAAGTGCCAAATCTTTGAGAAGATAACTGGCACTTACACTTAGGGGAGGTATTGATGAAGACTGGGAGAAAAGAAATGAGGCATATGTGTCTTTGGAGCAAAACAGATGCAAATTCTGATTCAGTAACTGAACATGGATGGGTATCAAGGACATTTTTCACTGTGGAAATACTTTTAAGTTTTAAAAGAGTTGTTGAATACCCATATAAGGAATACATTCTAAACCGCATCTCAATAAGACAGTGTGGTATGGTGTTTTGCCTTGTGAAACACCTCCCATCCTCAAAAAACCAACCCAGCATTAGTAATTGTATCTCTCTCTTTAACATCTGAAACTTTTGCCAGATGCAAGTTGCTGTTACAGGTTTTGGTTTTGATTTTCTGAAACTAAAACGTTCAATACCAAAAAATTGTAGGTTATGAATTGAACATTAAAAAGCTATATTAAATAAAGTTTTATTGTCCTATTGACAAAGAACATGAAAAAATTGCTTCTTCTTGGTCCTGCTTTTTTTGTCGATGATTTTTTGACCTCCTGGTCCATTATTACCTGATACAACTTTCTTGTGACTTTTGGAGATGACTTCTTTTATCATCTACTCAGTATTGCTAGTAGCATGCTGAATGTCCTCAAGAAATACAAACCCCATCAATAAGGAATTTCAATGTCTTTTAATTCTTGTTATTTATTAATAATCACAATATTTAATTTCTTTTTGTTACTTAATTATTTTGTTATTTTTGAAATGTCTCAAAAATTGACCATGGTATATCCACAGAATTATATAATAATAGAATCATTAAGGTTGGAAAATACTGTGATGTCCAACTGTTAACCCAGTACCATCACCATGTTCACCACTAAACCATGTCCTCAAGTGCCATAGCCACAGGTTTTGAACACTTCCATGGTTGGCAACTCCACCACTTCCTTGGGAAGTCTGTTCCAGTGCTTTACAACACTTTCTGTGAAGAGATTTTTCCTGACATCTAATCCAAACCTTCCCTGGAGCAACTTGAGGCCGGTTCCCTGGGGTCATATTGACTATAAAGGCATCTGATTTTTTTCTTGTAAAGCAAAAAGCCAATGAGAAAAAAAATATAGTGAAGCAAACAATATATGATGTTGATGAAACAGGAAATGTGAATTTCCTTTGTCTTTCTCCTGTATGCTCCACTACTGGAACTTGATTTCTTTCACATCAGTGAATAGGTATTATGCCATTGCCCTGTTAATCTCCTGTAAGAGATTAACAATCAGTGCATGTGAGGCTATGTTAGTATGTCATTGCACTATGTCTGCCAGTAGTGAGACACTCACAGCAAATGCATAATACTTACTTTCAAGTATCAGTTCCAGTTAATTTTGATTTACATGGATTGATCTCCTTCAACATGAAAAATTGAAGTCAGTAGCTAAGGTGTGCCAGACCAGGATTCAGATCTACTCAGTCAAGCAAGGATAAAAATGAACCATGGTGTCAAACAGAGAATTTCTATGTGCTACTTCCTGACTGTGTGATTTACCCAAGAATTGTAAAATTTAGTTCTTGGCTACTTTAGTTCAGATTTCCACAGTTCAAGTGAGACTGCAATTTCTGTTCTGAAGTAAATGGGTGGGATTTTGGTTTTGCTTAACCTGACAAATTTTATCTAGGATATTTGGAGCTTTATCTTGACCTATGTGACAAAGCTTGTTAGGTGTGAAGAATCTTACCTGGATACTACCAAATCTTACTGGAAAAATTGGGTAGCAGCTTAGCAGTGTTTTAAAGATGGAAGTGCATTCTTAAAGAGATGGATTGGTCTCCAAGTGATTTGGAGGATCATATTCTTTTCAGAGAAAATTCATTGCTGTTGAGTTACTTCTCAGCTGCATTCAGAGCTTTAACAGGCCATAAACAAACTTCAGTTTGTCCCTGGCTAGCCTGAGTGTCTGTGGTAGAGTCCTAATGGGTAAAAGAAGGAAAAGGGAAGGAAACTAGAGTGCAAAATCCCTCCATAGCTTGTTAAGATTAGCATACTTTGTAATTTAGGTTTGGAAGGAAATTCCTTTTAAAAATAGGTACATAATTTCTATACCTTTTCTTCACAGTAGAGAACCATGGAATTTCTTTATAATTCTGCTCTTGAAATTAATAGGAAATAAACTAGGTCAGTATTCAACCAAGTAGGGAATTGTTGTACAAATATTGATTTATGTGCTGTGCTCACAGGATTGTTTCTCTTATTTGTTGTTTTGAGTGCCCAAGTGAAGATATAACATCAAATTTTTTTGAAAGAAGCAGAGTATTGTTCTTAAAAGGACTGGTTTGATTCCTGTGGGTAACTTGCAAAGTGTGTTAGCAAGAATATAAGAATCTGGTACTGACTTTTCAAAAATTGAAAATGTGTAGAAGTATACTAATTTTTATTTTCTTCTTTAGTTCTAATATTTTTGTATTTTAATATCTTGTCATAAACCATACCTGTTATTCAATATATACTGCAGTGATAAAAACTGAATTATTTACTAAACATGCCTGTGTAAGTGGCATGAATTATCTGTTGGCCTGATCACATTGTATTAGTACTGAAAAATTGAATTTATCTGTTTATTTATTTTGTATTTTCAGGTACAGATTGAAGAGCTGGACTATCATTACTTTCTGCCTTTGTTCTTTGATGGGCTTTGTGAAATGGAATTTCCATATGAGTTTTTTGCTCGTCAAGGAGTCCATGACCTGCTGGAGCATGGTGGAAGCAGGATTCTTCCTGTTGTTCCTCAGCTCATTATCCCAATAAAAAGTAAGTGAACATGTAGGAGAAAAGTCTATACATTGTATTTATCTTATGTAAATTTTTGAAAAGTTGCTAATTAAGCTGTAAAACATGATAGCCTGAACATCACATGAGAAATTATTGCAAATGTCAGTAAATTTCAATATATAAAGCCAGAAAGCTTATGCCTTCAATCACCTGATATGTGCAGTATTTCAAAATAGACTCTCTGGTTAATGTTTCTCTTATTACAGGGTTGCTCTTGGTCTTTGGAAATGTGAAGTGACATTTCCTTAACTGATTTTCTATATTTACAATGTAAATCTGCTACTGTACAGACCAGTTCATCTAAAATGGCAGGAGAAATCATCAGGTGGCATTTTAAAAATATTACTTTTGAAGGTTTTATATTGTCAAACATAGTTTTTTTGCAGAAAGAAAAATTGTAAAAACCAAAAAATTATTTTAACACAAATTTAATGCCACTAAACTTCAAGTGTATTATCACTAAAATTTATTTTCTTGAACCACCTAGTCTTTTAGATATATTGTTTTGTCCTTTCATTTCTTTAGGTCAGTACCTTGAAGAGATATTATTCTGAACCATCATCATTGTCTAGTTAGTTATGGTGATTCTTAAATCTGCATGCTACACTTATATGAGTATATGCTCATTTTTGTTAAACTTGGCTTCTTTTTTATGATTAATCGTTAATGGTATTATTGCTGCTCTTTTCCTGTCCATGAGACAGTTCAGCATTAAATACAGTGTTGTAAAACAGGAGGTGAATATAGTTTGGAGCCTGATAATACTGAAATAATAGTATGGGAAGGGTCAGAATTATGGGGTTTTTTAATTCAATTTTTTCTCAATTTAAAAAGATTGATTATAGATGTCGCTATCTCTATCTTACCGTAGTTTTGAAAATGTCAAAAGGATTATATAATATTCAGAATGTTTACTCTGTGACACTAGAGAAAGGTTATGAAAGCAATGTTACCAATTTTTCACTCTGAAGGGGAAACACGTAAGGAGAGGAATGATATAATTTCTTCAGAACTGTATTGCCAACATTGCCCAAATGTATTTGCAGTAGTATCATGTTTTTTGAAAGGTGAAATTTCTTTGGAAAAGACTGCAGGTTTATGACAGCATCTCCTCAGTTGGGATTTAAAAATCTTTCTGAAAACAGAATCTAGCTTAGATTTAATTACCTGGAAGCTTTAGCTGTTGCATAGCATTTAGAATTAGAAAGAGTTTTCTAGTTAAGGATATTTTTATGGGTTTGATATGTAGTTGTATGTGTTAAGTCATAATTTATGGTGCTGGAACACATTCAAGAATCTGCTAGCTAAATTTAGTTGTTATTTCTGCTTTATTTTATTCTAAAGTGCTTATTTTTTATTTTAAAAATGCTTCTCTATCAGTTTTAATATGTGAAGAGTCTAAGTGTTGTCAATGATAAAGGCTTCTTCCTAATTAAAGCCATACTAATAGTAAAAGAAGACACCACCCACCACCTCCAGGAGTCTGAAAATGTGTACTTTCAAGAGTTTTTTAATTTGCTATGACTGTGTAATACAGCAGTGTAGTCATAGCTCTACATTTCTGTGACTCAGCATCCACAATAAACTCAGATATGTTTTACACAGATTACTGTCTCTAAAGTGTCCCACTGGGTGAGTTATTTCTGATTAATCAGTCTTCTTCTAGACCACTACCATATTTTTACTGTGAAGAGTGAATCAATTGATTGTTAGGAAAGTTAATATATATGATCTAGGGGAAAAGGCTAAAAGAAGGTCAGAAAAACAACTCTACAGATAGAATGCTTTTAAAAGCAGTTTTCTCTCCTGCATAGTCGTCAAAGGAATATGTTAGTAAAGACCTAAATGTTCTCAAAAGCATTTAAATTAAATATTAGAATTCTGTATTATATTTTAATGATTTAAGGAGGAATTTGTCTTCCAGCCATCCTTGCTTAAAGATCACACATTTGAACACTATATCATTAAAAATGAAAATAATATTCTTTAATCCATCTGTGGGTTATTCTAAGCCCAAATCCTTTCCATTTTTTTCTTGTTAAACAAGCAGTGACTTAAAAAATGATAGGCAATTGAAATGAACAGGCATGGATTCTCTTCTAAAATACCTGAAACATTATTAAAATAATGAAGAAGAATGCATTTAGTTAAAAAAGAATTCCTTTTTTTGTTTGTCACACTGGAAGGAACTTTTTTACTAGAAGGAATATTTTTACTGGAAATTCAGAGGAAGAAAAAAATCCCTCAGGTTGGAGGCATTAATTTCTGAGAGAGAAAAATGCTCAAAATATATTTTGGTTTCTCAAAATATAAATTCAGAATATATTGTATCATGCACTGGAAAAACATTATAAAATAGTTTATAAATGCATTCATTGCATGACATAAAACTCAGAAGAAACAAATTACCTGTTTATGTCACACTTGTAAGGAATCCAACTAAAAATAAATATAGCACAAACACAGAAAATGGGATTACTTAAGATATAGGACTTTTTGCTCCCTTTCACAGAAGATATAGGCAAACCCTTGGCGGAGTTATTTCAACTTCAGCAAAGATATGTAAATTGAGATATATGACAAACAGCAAAGTACCTTACAGCAGTATCATGACAGTTCTGATGCACAATAAACAGCCAGATATCTTCTTTGCCAGGAAGACCCATATTGCTATTTTCATATTACGCACAGGTAAAAAAAGCAGAAGTAGGAGGCTAATTTTGCCCCACATTGCAGATTGGATTGGTGGCAGAGAGCTGAACAGAACCCAGGCGCAGCCCCCTGGGTTAGCAAACAGAGATGTCTGTAGGTTACATGAGGGTTCCTTTATTTTTAGGAAACAGAGGAGTCTGTCTAGCCTTTCTATGTTCTTCTCTGTGGTCATTATGGGAGTGTAAAATTCCTTCTGATGTTCATTTTTGGGAAAAATTATTACTTTTAATATTACATTTCCCATAACAAATGGATTGGAAAAGCCTTAAGTCCTTTTTCTGGCTTTTGTTAGGCTTCTGCAGCTCTCAGATTCCTGACTTCAGGGTTCCCAAATGTTCTCTGCGTGAGACACATGTGTATACATAAACACTGAGGGAGCCAGAAGTTTCTGCACCTTTGTCTGTTGTTTCTATGAGTAACATCAGGGACATGCAACACAGTGCATGGAAGCACCTCCTCTGCTTTCAGAGCCAGCAAGCATGCTGCCATTCGCATTTGCTTTGCTTGCAATGTAGTTGTAGGAGTTTCCAACCCCTGCATGCATGAAGTCACCAATTGTTCCAGCTCCCACACTCTGATTTTTGCTGATGCAATTGTTTATGGAGCAACTTGGTGATATTTTCATCTAGATGTGTAAAAACAACAGCAAAAAAAAATAGCTAAAGAGCCCAACTGTAAAATAAACCAAAATTATTTTTAAAGTGGCATTACTTTTAAAATCAAATAATTTCAATAGTCTAATTTATAAATGCACTCCTATATATGAAGGAACAGTACATCATAGCGCAGACATTGGAATGAATGGCTAGAAATGATCAATAGGAAGATCATCATATAGTTTTGCTAATGAAGATAATAATGTGAAATTAAACACTTAAGTATCTTGGGTCACCCACTTGCCAGAATCTTTTCTGTTCTGTGCTGTGAATCCTAAAACAGATATGTAGACAATCTGAACTTAGGTCTAAAGCTAGAAAAGCTCTCATCTTTGCACTTGTAACTTAGAAGGAAGTATTGTTTCTACACAGTTCCAGTCAGCAGACCAGTTCTTTTGATTGAGGCCAGAAAGAATAATCTCCATCCTAAGTAACACTGAAGTTTTCCTTCTTGAGACTTTGAGACTTCTTGAGACTTTTATGTTGTTAAAGATGATAACTTCTGTGATACAGTAAATCAAGGATACCTTAAACTTTGTTAAAAATATTTAATTAAGGTACTAGATATTTTTGTGAGTCAGATTTAGAGAATTGAATAGAGCACTCTTCTCTTAGTGTCACCTACAGAGTCCTTTTTAATGTTTAATAAAATTCCAAATAAAACTGATTTCTCTTTTCTTATTGTTCACATTTTGTTTGCACTTGATTTCCATTTTCTTATTGTTCATTCTATTTGCATGAAAAATGTTGTCTTGGATTACAGTGTAGTTAATTCCTATTTAATGTCAAATCAGTGTCACTTTTGCATTTAGATATGTAAAGTTGAATGTGTTGCTAGCAGTTGTTCTAAGCATATTCGTAGTTCTCATATATTCACAGTATTTAGGAGTACTTAATACTGTTAAATGCTTCCTTTCACAAACTTCTGCAATGTTTTTATGGAATAAATATGGTTTTCTGGTCTGTTGTCATTTCCTTTCTGCAAATCATATAAGTTGATTTCTCTCACCTACAGAAAGTAACTTAAAACACTAATCTATTGTAATTTTCCTCCTGGCTGACTGTTCTTGAGAACCAGTACTGGTTATTAAGGTCACAAACTGAAAGATAAAAGCAAACAAGCAGGCTTTTATAGACTTAAAATGCTTTTAAAGAAATCAAAGATCTCTGATTTTTTAAAATTGTTCTGACACTCAAATACTAAAGCATTTCCCTGCAGGTTTCATCAGCCAGTACAAGTAGTTGCAATTAGGTTTATGTTTGATTCTTCTACCCAAAACTGGTCATTTCAGGTGTTTTCAACTGCTTTAGGAAGTAGCTCCTTTATTATCCTCTTTGCTCTTTTCTATGAGGAGAAACTGTGTTCCTTATTCAATAAAGATAAATCTCATCCATGTTTGGAAAGTGAAATCTGTAATTAACATCTCTGACTTTTAAAGTTGGAGTTAGAGATATTTATTCCTGAATTCATAAATGTGTTATATTTAGCATTTATTAATAATGAATTTCATCTGCAATTTTTTCACCCAGTTTTTCTATACAGTTCTTCAGCGTCAGTCCTTGACTTTGGTATCTGGAATAAATTGATATCATCAGAAATCTTTGTTATCA